CCTCTCTTATCGGAATTTTAAATGAAGTCGGGGACGACAGGTTGCATAAGCGTTGTGTACTCTTATCAACACCTGAATTACGTGCGCGATAAAGGTACGCGTTTCTTCGCTTTCGAGAAATTTCGATTCGATCGATCTGGGAATTGTGTATTCCCGCGAGCGGGCAATTATTTTTACAAGCGCGTAAATATATGTACCGAGGTGAAATCGATATCGTGGAACACACAGAGTGTGTGTGTGTTGTATCGTTTGTTAATGGGAAAACGGAGGATATTTGAAGTCTGGTATCGGAATACCGGTATGTATCGGCTTTAAATATCGTCTATGGGCGTTCGATAATTTAACACGAACTGACATTCGACGATATTAAAGTGTTTAACAAGTGTTCAATAGCCGGAGAGTTTAATAGGCCGTAACTCTTTGATCGTGACGGTTTATCTATGAATCCCGGTGATGGTTTCACGTTTCGTTTGTCGAGCTATTAATCGAACGTGTCAATAACCGTTAATTGAATTTTACTTTCACTTCCTATAATTTTCGTGTGCTGAGAAAAAGTAGAATAGAGTTCTTCGAGAGCTTGTTGCTTATATTTCCCAGGATGAGAGGAACAGAAATATCCATCCGATGGCGCCAATATTTCTCTCCATGCTAATGGACCATTGTCCCGCCATTGTCGTTGGCAAATTTCGCCGCGAAGACGATACTCGGATTTGCATGCGCTCAATGGGCCGGTATTGCAGTTATAAGTTGAAATTTTTACCATTGTCCTGAAAACTATCATTTTACGAGATGTCGTGGCTTCCTTCGATTGTTCTTTACCTATATAACGTTTTGAGAAGTAATACTCGATGGCAAGGCCGGACTAACAGTAATAATACGCTAATAGCCTTAACCTACACGAGCTACTTCACGCTCGATTACAGTATGGTACTCGGACATCTATACGACGCTTCGAGTTAATTGTTACCTCAAGGTCTTTGAAAGGTAAACCCTACTCCTCTTTGCTCCACCCTTTCATTCATTTTAAGTATCAATATCACAGACCGATCTTCGCAGATTGCCTATCTAAACTATGTAAAGAAAATCGAGAGCTCCGAATAGGGGATAAATGATCTCTCGAGGTGGGGGAAGTGGCCTTGAGCGCTCCGACGATTCCAAACGCGCTATAGCCTATAAAGATATTTATTCCGGAAGAATTATAGCCCACAGATTGCCTATCTGAGAAATAAAAAATTTAGGAAGCTTCAAAGAAGGGATAAGTGATCCCTCGGGGTGGGGGAAGTGGCCTTGAGCGCTCCGACGATTCCAAACGCGCTATAGCCTATAAAGATATTTATTCGGGAAGAATTATAGCCCACAGATTGCCTATCTAAGGAATAAAAAATTTAGGAAGCTTCAAAGGGGGGGATAAACGATCTCCCGTGGTGGGGGAAGTGGCCTTGAGCGCTGAATAGATTCCAGACAAGCTATAGCCTATAAAAATATTTATTCCAGACGAGCTATAGCGCACAGGTTGCCTATCTAAAAAATAAAAAATTTCGGAAGCTTCGAAGAGGGGATAAACGATCCCCCGTGGTGGGGGAAGTGGCCTTGAGCGCTCAATAAATTCCAGACGAACTGTAACCCATACATTTCCCATTTAAACCCTATAAAATATCTGAAAATCGTCAAAAAGGAGGTAAACGATCTCTCGCGGTGGGAGAAGTGGCCTTGAGCGCTCAATAGATTCCAAACGCGCTGTAGCCTATACATCTCCTTATTCCAGACGAACTATAGCCCATAGATTGCCCATCCAAACCCTATAAAATATCTCAGACTCGTCAAAGAGGGGGTAAACGATCTCTCGCGGTGGGAGAAGTGGCCTTGAGCGCTCAGACGATTCCAAACGCGCTATAGCCCAGCTTCGTGCAACGAAACTCTGCATCCCCGACTTGGAATCGCGCAGAAGGTTCGGTCGTGACGAGGTCTTCGCTCGACAACCTTTGCCCACCCAGGTCGCGGCTGCGGTTTTAGGTATACACACGATGAGCTGTCGCGATACCGAACGCGCTGCTTCCACAACCTCTCCGCCTTTACAATGCCGCTAATGCATGAGTTTCTTCTACGAGCCAGTGGCGTAGCGGCGGCGGACAGTTACGATCGAATTGTAAATCCACGTGTCACGGTTATGGTGGCTCGTTTCGCCCGTAGAACGTCTCGAGGGTTAATTGAGAACGACTCCTCTCGCGCGCCGCCTGCACACGATTTTACTGAAGCGAATCGGCGACGTGGGATGCGTGAACGTTCGTTTCTTTACTGTCTTTGTTTCGATGGCTGAACGATGGGATACGTTGCTTCAACGCTGAATTCTCAAGGCTTTCGCGGTTTCCTGGTTCGTACAAGGATTCCACTTTGAAAGGATAGTTATATTGGACAGTTGACAGACTTGCCTCAGATGGATCATAAATATTCAAGCTGTACGGATGCTTGCTTTCTCGATTTTTCACCGAAGCAGCCAATTTTCCCAGGAATTCTTGGCTAAAGGCGATATTTCACGTGTTACTTCTCACTGTGACGAGTGGGAATTCTAATACGGATTAGGCTATCTGTAAATCCTCGTCAAATTGTCGTACCTGTAGCGATTTCGTTTCTTACACAGTCTAATTAGATTACAATCGATGTTTCCTACGAAAAATCAGCCAACTCGTCGAATCACGCATGAAAACAGCTGGTAAATTCAATAATACGGATTCGAGCGCAGAGGATGACGAACCTGTCGAACACGCTGTCTCACTCGAGAATCCACCTTTTTATTCCACTTCCAAGTAAACTCCAATGAAAATCAAGCGCACAGGTGAAATTCGATTTCGTCCAATCTTTGCTAAACTTTCTAAAGCGTGTCTGCCGCCGCGCTAATTTATAGCTACTCGAAAAATGCCTCGAGAGCAAAGCACTCTAGAAAACACACTTCTACTTTCAGCATATCAAACACTACGTACCTAAAGAGGTTTAATTATCATCCGATTAACCGTTCGTAAGGCAAGATGAATAACGTCTGGACGGGTTAATTCCTTCGTATGCAGGTTTCGCGAAGAGAATGAAAGTAACAGAGAGGCTGCCTTGTGGCGGTTGCGCACGATTTTCGTTTGTCAATCGGAACGGGCATGAAAGCTAGCAGGACGGAACGAGGCTCGAGGCGGATTAAAACGATCGTCGGGCACAAAGAACGGCATTGTGTTGCGGCGCATACGCCACTGTGAAGTGGTTGCATGATTGGTGTGTGTATGAAAGGGGTCGAGGGAGAGAAGTGGTGCCACTGGAGCCGCGTGAGAAACGCTGCATACTTACGCGAACCACCCACGTGTCACAGCTTAATGCAGGGATCGTGATACGCTTTTCCTTCATTCGATACTCTAATATGATCTCTCCGCGCCTCGAGTGAAACGTTCCCTCTAAGTACACGCGCGAACGATGACAGCGAGAAAAATCGGCGGAACAGAGCGTCGGTTAATTACAAGGCTTGCTCCAGTTGAACGGTTCTCGTGGGAAGATGTCGAAAAGTCGTTTAGAAATCGTCCATATGAAATCTCGCGGGAACCCGAGCTCCTCTAATTTTATTCCAATGACGAAATATTAATGCCGCCTTCCATTTTAAAGAAAACTAGGGAGTACTCTTTTAGCCTCTCAGTAGTCGTATCGAAAAATTTGTCGCGTTCTGAAAGATTCGACTCTCTGTTTCGACGGCCGTGGCAATTTTTAGGATTTTTTTTCAGAGGAACTATTGAACCTTTTGCATTAGGGTTTTGCACATACATTTATGGGTATCTAAAGTACGTTATATATTTTTTTGAAGTAAAAACAATCAAAATTACACGAGTTATAGTTTGTTTTGCAGTGTGCTTTGCAAAAAGTGTGTTGACTGTTTACGTGATTCCGGGCCTTCTGCTGAGCTGAAATAGAAAAACGAGGGAGAATCTTAATCGGTACAAATCTGGCTATGGTCTGAACCAAGATAAAATAAAAATTTTGGCTATTTTCAAAATGGCAGCATTTTGAATTAAGATTATCGATTTTTTTCATATTTGGCCGTCTTTAGCATGTTAAAAGAATAAGAACAAAACGACGGATGTTAGAAATTTCGGTTCCTGCGATAACAGGATGTGTGCTGAGGATGCTCTACAAATTTCAAGTCAACTGATAAACTAGAACTTGAGATATCGCGTAAACCGTTTCGGAAAAAACGCGTTTAAAGATTCATCTGTCCAATTCAAACCAATCCTCTTGCACACGCGTTCTAGAATACTTATATTTATTTTTTTGTAAGTTCAAAATGAGAATACCTCTTGAGAAAAAAATGAAATCAAGGAGAAACTCGGTTGTAAACTTTTTCTTCGATCCACTCTGTATATCTGACGTTCTTGGAGAATTTCCAAGCGTCTCAAGAACGACCCGAATAGGATAACCGAGAAGAAACTTCTCGGAAGGAAAATTAATTCACTTACAGCTACAGCGCGAACGATCGATGAAAAATCTTCCCTACGTGTCGGATACACCATTACACAGGTAGGAAAATTACACGAGCTGGCCATTATCTCGGTGGTACGGGGCTAACAACCATGAGACACACCGCGAAAGAAACGCGTCCGAGAGGGAATTATTCAATTATCCGCGGCGAAGGTCAGAGTGGAACGATTTAGCGCCCCCGTCGAAAGATCGGCCGGTATCCTCGAGCGGGCGCGCATAATCGCCGCGCGAACGTGTCGACACGACGAATGACTCGTTTCACTCTCCGGGCATGACTCGAAGGAGAAATCGCGGCGACACGCCGCTTCACGTGGGAGATCTTGTCAGTCGTATACGACTACCGTATCACGGTGACTCACGCGTAATGCACGGAATGCCACGGATAATTTATCCCGGAGCGACGTATTCCGTGCCTCTGCCAGAAACGATTCCTCGTCATCGAGCCGATCCATCCTGTGTACGTATCGTATTTTTCTCTTCTTTTCTGCTTTCAGCAGCGCTGACAGCGCCAAGAATGGATTCACCCTTCTCGTTCGAGGACACGCTCCCGAGTGCTTGGAGTTTCTGGACAAAGTACTGGTCGTTGTGCAGGTAAAGAATTCTCCAACGGTCGGCGTAATTACTCCGTGCGAGCGGTGTTCGCTGATTTTGGAGTAGAAGAGAGGGAAGTGTTTTCTTTGAAGAGGGACAAGCGTTGAAGGGATGATTCGGTGTTTTTGCAGGGACGAGTGAACGTTTCTCAGGCGTTGCTGATGCAGAGCTCCGTTGCCGAGGACTCGAACGATTCCCAGTTACCTTTGTGCCGCGTCAAGGTGAGCTTCATTCACATTTTCCGAGAGAACGAGCGAGGATTGTTTAATACTACCCCTTGGACTGGGTCAATATTGACCCACGTCTATTTTTATCACCCAAGAACCTCATTTTCTGCAAGATTTAAAGACCCTTTTTTTTTCAACGATATGGATAAATAAACAATAACTACTTTTTACAATGTATACACAATAAATGAACCAGAGTTAAGGCAAAGTTCTTGAGAAGTTCTGCTTGGGTCAAAATAGACCCAGGCAACTCAGAACAAACTGGAGGAAGAAATTATTCTAAGGTCCCTTGGTACTTTTCCTTGGCTTCGCGTTACTGTGTTCGATGAAAAGAAGCAGCAATACGGTATTTCCATTCACAACCAAGGACCCCATACGAAACACCTTGATCAACGACCAACACACGCGAGTAATACCCACGTGTGCAAACACTTTTTCGCAAACGATTTGTTCATGCCGACGGTGTACACACTCGTCCTTCGCGGCGAAAGGGTTAAGCAACTGGCTCGAATGTCCTCCTCTCCCCTTCGCTCTAAACCGAACGCGATCATTGTTTGCTCGTTGCCAATTCCAACGGTGGAAACGTTGCTCCTCGAACGTCTATTGGTAAACGCGTCTCGATTGCTTTACTCGAGAGGAAAAGGAAATCGACACAGGGGACAAACCGTTTCTCGATTTTACTTTCAGACGACCGTCGTGGACGAGGACGCTTTGAGGAAGCACATTCTGAGGCGGGAGCAGAGCCACGATCAGGCACAGTGGATCGCGTTTTACAAGGTAACTGAAGCTTCACCTCGTCTTCTCTCTGTTTCCTTCTCCCCGACGTTTTCCAGTGTACGAAGTCTTTCCCCCGACCTTTGAGTGTCTCTTTGCGCGACACTCGTTGCATTTAAGATGAGTCTTAAATTGGGTTTTTCAACCGAGAGACCGTTTCTCGTTTCAAGCCTCCTCTCGAAAACGTTTCACTCGGCTACAATTTCGAGCACCTTGGTATCTCCACAGGAAATCCCCCCCGCGCGTTATCGTCCAGAGAAACACTTTGCACGCTCGTAGCGCGTACCCCTTTGAAATCCTTTAAAATACGACGTTTCACCCTTCAATCGGGACTGTCGTTCAAACCGATACTTCACCGAAGTCACCTTAACAAGCGAGCAATTCCCCGAGTGACAGGCAAAGTCGGGCCTCTCGTTCGCCGCGACAAATTGCTTCCGAAAACGATCGCGCCTCTGCCTCGTCTCCCTCCGCGTGTCACGGCTTCGAGGCGAAAGAAAGAGAAAGAAAAAACGAAGTAGTCTCGATGGAATTTCGCTTGGTCGGTCGGTCGGTCGGTCGGTTGACTGAATGTCACGACGGTGATTCGGCAGGTTCGATGAAAAATGAAACGGCCGGCCGTGAGCGGAATAATTGTGCCGGCGTCTGGACCAGCCTCTCTATCTATCCCTCTTTCTCTCTCTCTCTCTCGTTCGAATCGCGGCGCAATTATTGTCCGATGGAATTTATCCGGCGGGTTCTGGTGGCACTGACCGATGTTACCAATTTATCCGTGGCTCTCAACCCACGATTCTGTGGCGCGCGTAATGGCGTTTTAATGGGTCCCGTTAAAGGCGCGAGGAGGAGGGGGAGAAAAAGGGACGCGCGGCGTCTTCGTCGCGGCCCGGTATCGTGGTCGCAATTCGTCACGGTGCTCGCAATTTTTTCGCCTGCGACATGCGTCTGGATCGCAGCCGCCGCGGCTACTTCAGAACGAGTGTTTCGACGTGAATTAAGCATTCGTCCGGGTAATTGGGTGGCCCAGGGTGCCTTTTCGGCCGCGATGCGGTTCCGGTGGTGGCTCGAGAGGTGGAGAATCGAGTAGATTGTAGGGTGAAAGTCGAGAGATTTATGTATCATCTTCACCTTGCCGTCCGACAATTTCGAACCGATCGGCCGTTCTTTGGCCATTCACCTCTTTGTTCCCGAGAAGATCGCTAAAGTAGGCCACCTCTGTTCCTTTTCGTAATAATAAGGCGAGTTCAACGACCTGTCACTTCAAACGGCACGGTAAACAAAGATTGTCGGTGACCTTGGAATGACCTTGAAGACGCCTTTGGGGCACTTTATCTCATCGCCACCAGGTGCACGACCTTAAACTGCGTCACTTCTTCTTGCTTTCCCTTAAATAACGAACAAAAAATATAGATCAACATGGAACGACCTTCAAAGGCCACTTCAGGTTTTTTCTTAATTTCAAGTCCAATCCAATTGCAAGTGAACAATTCTTAATTACAAGAAAATGTCTCTTCTACTTCAGTTCAATCCAGAGCAAACCAACAGCAAACTATTCAAAGCTCTTTCATCTCGACTCGAAAAGGAGGAACCTCTGTCTCCTCTTATTCTCTTCGCCCTTTTCGCGACGTCCTTCGTGGCCGAACAGCTCTGCCGCGGCTATTATCCTGGCGATTGTGCGCGCGTAAATAGCACAGTGACGAGTCCTATCGGGCCGATAAAAGCGGCGGCGGCCGCCGCTCTCGAGAAGGCGAGCGAACAACAGTTACTTCGCGACCTTGCCTCGCCGATAATCGATCGGGAAACGTTACAAGGAGAAAATTTCGCCGTTGGAAAATGTTCATAAATAACGGTCGGCTTCGCGATCCTCGTCGAGATAGGCATTAACATAGCTGCGGGATTCTTGGACGGAAAGTAAGGACTCCTCTCTTGATGCTGCCTCTTTCGCCAGGCATCTCAGGAACGAACGTCTCGCCGTGCGTGGTCGAATCGTTCGTGTCCTGAGTACCTTACTGTAATACCTTTTCGCATGTACCTGTACATAACGTACTTGTATACGCTCGCAAAATCTTCAGCTTTCTCGATCCACGACGCTATTATAATGTCATTAGCGAGAGAGGGGATGAAGACGGTTATGGTTACGGGTTACTCGTGGTGGGAGGTTGAGTAGAGCATGATTGATAAGTGGAGTATGGAACACGTGCTCACGATTGAACGATCATAGTTGCAGGTTCGTAATTTCGTCGGGACGTATCAGCGAGGAATTATGCAAATTTCGTTGAACCGGTGTGCGAATATTAGCGGATTAATTAGACGTCCCGAGGTGGTGTTAGAAGCTGCTGAAATTAGGTCCGCCGTGGAAATATCCTTTCGAGATAATCAATCAGGAATTAATACTGTTAATCATCCCGGACACCTCGAGAAGGCGTCAAGCTTCGTTCAATTAAAACAACGTTAGAACGCTTTCTAGCGGTGGTAACAAATGACCCCGGCTGGATAATTTTTCATCCTTCCCCTCCTCTAATTGATTTTTCTAATTGCGTTCGACGATAGATCATCGACGGTTATTAAAACCTCGCCGAAGGTTGGGAGAGATCGGGTGGCCGGGTGAAAAATTATAAACGATCGTTGGATAGCGTTTGAAGTTTGAGTTATCGCGATTGTCGAGCTACATTTATGACAACGATACCAGCCGAGGGTACGTTTAGCCTCCGGCCATTATCGATCCCCGGATCGATCAATCTATCTACCGGATGATTTCGCGAAATTGAGACGTCAATGGACACAAGACCGACACTAGGAGTATCTCTTATCTGCGATAAATGTGTAACATCTATCAGAACTGCTCTAATTATCATTCAATTTGCGAAAAATCTTTCGATCGTTTCAATTTTCTAATAGATCCACGCGAGCTCTTTCATCTCTGAGTTGCAGGAAAGGATCTGTCAGGTGAAAAATTCTAAGCGAGGTAGAGGCAAAAACCGAAAGATACTTTCTCAAATTACTCTGCGATGAACCGTTGCCCCAAAAATTCAACATCCACGCTACACTGTGGAGTTCTTCTTACAGATAATTCGAGTAGTGCGTTGGATTCGCCTTTAACTGTCGAGGAAAATACCGTTTGACTCTTATCACCGTGTCAATTAGAAGAGATAGGATGTATCCTAATACAACCTAATACAGCGTATCAGGCAACCTCTGAGGAGGAGAATGCTTCTAAAGACAGTCTGTTGACGGTCTACGTCAATTAGAGAAGCACGCAGTGTAGAATAATTCCAGTCACGTGGAATCTGCGATCGATCAGGAATTCGCTGCTATAAGTGATTTTGTCCAGACTAATAGCTAGGTGTGCCTACCTCTGCGTTCTGACTACCTGTCAGTCCAACCCAGCCCATTCCACTCTGCTTTTATTACCCAAACTCTTCACTGACAAAAAAAACCCTCCATTAACCCTTTACAGTTTCTGTTTCATTTTCTTTCTAAGTGTTTCATTTAAAAAGTAAACTTCCACACATTTCTGTAACAATTGCACTCTTTTCTTTACGAAAAAGGGTCACATGCTGTTGCTTATCTGAGTGTAAAAAAAATATTGCGAGATATGATGCACGTTTAAACCGGCAATTTAAATATGTCGAGTGCGACTGGACACAGTAGTAGCTGTGAATAAAATTGACGAAGGAGTGGAAAGGGTTGAACTGTACCAAGATTGTTCACACGTGTGCAACGTTACTTTACAGGAGTACGACGGTCTGATGACGGAATGGCAGTCAGCTGGTCGCAGGCTAGCGTTGGAGATGTCAGAGTTGAAGGAGTGCAACAGTCTGGCAGGCACGTTGACACCTCTCGGACAACTGTTGACCGATCCAACGTTGAGACGAACGTCCAGAGACGCGGAGGAGGCGATCTCGACGCTGGAGGAACGCGCCGCGCCGCTTCTACACCTGGAGCACGTTAGGTTAGAGAGCTTGGTCGCGTTAGAAAGCGATCGCCGCGGGCGAGAGAGTGTCTGGTCGCGGGGACACCGATCGATACTTTACTCGAACTTATTGTCGCCCGTTCCCGTTTCCCTCTGCCCGCCACTTTATATCCGCTCGTTCCGCTTTAATTGTCCAACAGATCTCTCTCTCTCCGGCTGGCTCGATACGTCGATAAAATACCGGCGAGACGTCGTCTATTCATTTTCTCGGATCCTCCTCCGAACCGGGTTTCCTTTCGAGCGACACGCGCGCGAACTTCACCGTGGAAAAAGAGGCCCCCGCTGTCTAGGCTGTGCGAACGCGAGTATATTTTCTCGCGTGGTATTCCTATAGAGGAGGAGGAGGATGGTTTTATAACGAAGACCGTAATGTCCGCGTCGTGTTAGCGCCCACTCTCGTGCAGCAGAGGAGGGACGAGCCAGCGCGAGTTAGCGTTCGATGTTTCGTTAGCGATAAGACGGCCACGGGGAATTCCTAACGGTGCGTCGCGATCACGACGCCTCCCTTTTATCTTTCCAGATTGTCGGTGAAACGGGCACGGAGATTGGTGGAGGAGGTCGGGAACGCAGCCACCAGGCTCGAATCCTCCTTCGAGACGCGACGGGCTACTATACGCAACCTCGCTGTTCTCAGGAGCATCGAAGACCAGGCGCACGAGGTGAGTAGGCAGTGATTTTTCGTTCTATCTACAGCAGAGGTCGGCAACCTTTCGATTAAAGGGCACTTCGAGTGGAGGGGAAGTTGTGATCTTAATTCCATACGTATTTATTTTAAACGAGTTTGTTAGTACAAAATTCTACTGGCCATTTTGTAAAAGTATCTGGCACAGTGGCGGCACTTTAAAAATGCCTGGCGGGCAGTTGGGTGCCAGGGAACTGTTGGTACAACTTGAACAGGGACGAATCTACGTGAAAATGTAGGCGAACTTTTTTTAAACGATGTTGAAGATTTGTCGAGTACTTGTGCACTTGGGTATATCTCGTTAGATAGTGAAATAAAGATAGGAACAAGTATCCCCACTATTTAGATCGGTCATAGATCGATATAAATTTTTACTTACGAAACGAATTAAGTCTCTCGTGCACCAAGACGAGAATACAAATAGGGAGCAATTGAAAGACAAAATTGTTCTTACTCTTAGTCTACATTTTCGACTTATCTTCCCATGTTGCACCGCCTATTCGCTGACACCTGGAGCAACACATAAGTAGTATACACAGTGAGAAACTTCTTCGAGTTAGGCTACCGTATAGAATTTTTCTATCAACCTCCAGCATCCGCTAGTATCCACATCTTCCCCCGATTTACACGGATGATCGGTTCCTCAGAATACCGTGTAAATCGAAGTCATGGTTTTTTGTATGAAAAACCGTGTAAATCGGGGAAAAAACAAAATGCGCATAATTCAGTCAGTTAATTAATTAAATTCATTACACCTATCCCCCGATTTACACTGAAGATAGGTTCCTTAGAAAACCGTGTATGCATAATTCAGTCATTTATTTCAACGTAAAATAAAACTAAATATATCTTAAAAAACATAAAAATAACTGTCTATTCGTAAAATGATAAAAATATAAAGGTATATGTATGTAAATCATTTTACATATAGAAACAAGAAGTATAAATTAAAAAATTTAATTACTGTTATCACTTTCGTAGGCTATTAATCTTTTATTCCTGGTTGGTATGATGTCACTTTCATCTCTCGATAGTACTTGATGCGATTCAAGTTCGATGTTAGATGAATTAGAAACAATTTCAGATCGGCGAGCCTTGGTAATGAAATCCGTAATAAACAATTGTGTTTGGTTTTTGATCAAATCTTTATAGACCTCCTCATATTGAAACCGTGTAAAAGTGAAATCGTGTAAATCAGGGGATAGGTGTATTCACATCTTCCCCCGATCCCATTAAATCCTCCAGACAGTCGAATAGACAAAGGGCATCTGGTACCCCGACTTTCACCTGAAAAATCACACGGCTGGCCGAATCTGTTCATCGAATCAGCCTCTTCGTCGAACAGTCCAAATCGATCGTGTCTCGTGTCCCTTCGATCACGGATCCAGACTTTTCCGCAGCAGTTCCTCCGGGTAACCTAATTTCTGGCATCCTCGACGTGTCTCGGTTCGACCTGGTTTTATGGATCCGATCGCGTGCTTGAGTCGTCTGGTTGATAGCTGGAGACAGGAAAGTAAGCCTGTGTAAGGTGAACGGAAATCGCGAGCTCTGTTAACCGTGGCACGCTCGATTCGATCCGTCTGTCGTCATAGTGCTCGTTCGCGGGGGAGTGTTTGCACATAACCGAGCATAATCGATAATGGACGTCGCCGCGTCGATAAACGTCTGAACGCTGATCCAGCGCTGTGGGAATCGTTCGATTATGGCGCTGGATCGCGGAAGGAGGATCGGGTTTCGTAATTCCGCGCCAGCCTCGGGACAAGACGGACTGGACGCTCGTGAGAGGATGGAAACGAGTCCTGAGGGAATACGGCTTTACCGCCTCGGGCTGTGTCGTGTGAATTCGTAAATGGAGACGTCGATGCTTCGGTGTTGTGATCGATAGAGCAGGTGGAAGGAGAGACAGTCGTGGGATTTTTATGGGGTTTTCATTATTTTTTTTTTTTTTTGTTAAACAGTGTGAAAATAAGAGATTCATTTTTGAGTGTATCAGTACAGTAGGTACACAGTTTGAGGAATTAAATTTTAATGAAATTCAGCGAGTAAATTTACTAAATCAAATATTGACAATTATTCTCAGTGTATTTATTTTTTAGTTAAACTGTGTTCATTTTTGAGTATATCGGTATAAAAATAAACGCACGACAGGTATACAATTTCACGAGTTAAAGCAACTATTGACAATTACTCCGAGAGTCTTTAGTTTTTAGTTAAACAGTGCAAATTTTGGAGTATATCGGTACAAATATAAACGCACAGCAGATGTACAATTTCACGAGTTCAATTTTAATAAAACTCAGCCAGTAAATTTACTAAAACAAATATTGCCAATTATTCTCAATATTTCTATTTTTTAGTTAAACTGTACAAATTTTGGAGTATATCGGTATAAAGATAAACGCACAGCAGATATACTACACAATCTCGTGCGTTAAATTTTAACGAAAATCAGCGAGTAAATTTACTAAAACGAATATTGACAATTATTCTTTTATTTTATCAGTTAAACTGCAAATTTTTGAGTAAATCAGCAGTTCAGATTTCGAACTGCTAATGATTCCAACATTGCCAATGATCCCTGGTATTGGACAATTAATTGCAACTCACACGTCCCCCCACCTCCTGTTGTTTATAACAATCGTCGTGGGATACGGTTTCGCCAAGTTTAACGACCGAGCGTGTTATTTGCAACGGCTCATTCTATTATGCTAATTAAACGTGTAATCAGTTTGTCGTACACACCACGTGCACCTCGACGAACATGTGGCTCGACACGATCCGCGCGTACGCGCACGTGACGGCTCGGTTCCGAGCGGAAACACGTGATTGCCCGTGACGTAATTGTGTCGCTGGCTTGAAACGCGTCTTGCGATCCTGCGGATACGGAAACCTGGAGTCTAGGCGGCGTCACGTGTCAGCCGGTGGTCTATGATGTAATCCTTGCTTGTCTCAGATCTACCTGGCGACGTCTCTGACAATTTCTAATCGTCTTATCGCGTGTCGTATACTTTCGATACTTCTTTTTTTGTTCTCTTAAGGACATGAGTGTACTAAAAGTTAAATTAAATTGACAGGTTTGCGGTGTAACTGTGGTAGAGAACAAATTTTTCAGAATTTTAACCATCGACTGCAAGGTAAATAACTGAAATTTCGAAGTAGAAAGTGAAGGTAACTGTAGGCATTATTGTTAAAAAGAAGTCGATGTAGTGTTACCAGGCATACATTGGACTAGTCATCGAAGAAAATGAGGCAAGATCTTGGATCAAAGTGGCCAAGTCGATTTATGACCGATCGACACGTCGTTTAACCGAGTTACGAGATGCTATTTTTATAGTCATCGTGTTGCGATAAGAATCTCCTCTCTGTCAAGAAAGGAACATGGTAGTGAAAAGATGCAGGCGACGTTCCGTATAGCCGGGAGATTCACACGGTCGCGATTTGAACGTGCCAATATCGAACATTTTGAGAAAGTTCCTGACCCTCTAATGACATCATGAGTTACCCACGCGAGCCGTACTGTCTAAAGTTTCCCATCACTTTCTTATAACTTTCTTCGTGGCGGTCAGTTGCTTAGTGTCGCTAAGGAGGTCAATGGCGCCTATGACCGAAATCTTGCGTCGACTAAATCACGTTACGATACGTAGCTCGTTAATCGCCGAAGCGTTAGCTCGTGGATGGAACGTGACGCAGAAAATTCTGAGGTGTATAGTCGGTGGAAGAGATATTAGCGAGGTCGTGAAATTGCTTGGGCAACGAAGTATCTGTGATGTGTGCTGAAACGGTAGTTTGAGGGAAGAAAGGAGCTTGAGAAGTTGATTTTTCTATTGTTGTTTATTTAAAAAGTACTTTCACGCCTCAATTCTTGACGTTTGCAGGTTCATTTTTACCAATGTAGTGATTAGTATTGATCAGGAGGCGATGTAGGTTTAGTACTGTATAGCTTTAATAAAAGATTAGTAGAATAGTAGAAATTTCAAATATGGACGACGTAAGTTTAATATAGTATAGCTTTAATAAAAGATTAGTGAAATAGTAGAAATTTCAAATATGGACGACGATTTACATAAATTACAGAAACCAGTGTGGTCACTTAATACTTTAATTTACGCTAGAGGTGACTTAAGTTTAATACAGTACAGCTTTAACAAAAGATTGCAAGCAGAAATTTCTAAAGTCGGCGGCAATCTACAGAAACCAGTGTGGTCACTTAATACTTTAATTCACGCTAGAGATGACCTAAGTTTAATACAGTACAGCTTCAACAAAAGATTGCAAGCAGAAATTTCAAATATGGGCGTAGATAGTTTTCTATCGCTTCCACCGACTATACCTTTTTACCGAATCGCTAGATCTTAGCGTTTTTCTTTCATTCCAACTATTTTTACCGGCATTGTGACATTTCGCGTCGCCAGTTTCATTCTTCCTACTGTCATACCTCTTTTCGCGAAAAGCCAACAGCTACTCGATCATTTTCGCTCGTCACTTATAAAAGTAGACTTCTAAACGGAAAGATCTTGATAAGCGATCAACGAAGCACAATTACAAGCAGGATACTACCATACGACCTCCTCGAGGTCGATGTATCGCGAAGGGAACGAATAAACGCCGTGCAATCTTGGACAACGATGTTGCTTTTACGACGGAACGTCTGGCCATATAAGACGACGTTCGATCTTGATCGAAAGGATCGCTCGATCGTTCCTTTTTATTTCGCGTGACGAACAGTGGCGCGCGTTGTTCGACAGGCGCGAGGAAGCACGCGCGGATTCCTTGGCCCACTGGCAAGTGGGTCGATCCTGACAATTGTTTAATTGTTAGCGCGGGGCGTGGACCGCTTTCACGTACGCCCCGACGAAAACGAAAACCGGCCACGTCACAGAATTGGCCCTTGTTCCTTTGACAATTTCACTGATCGAGTCGTTATTCTTCAACCGCTCGAAATTTGAATTTATCTTCTTCTGTCGTATGTGGAGTTGC